GGACATTGAACAATTTTTCCGTTTATCGACTCTTTAGTCCATGAAATAAAATAACACTAAATTTTCTCCCTAACCCTATTATGTAAGTTCTCTTTAGTATTTTTCATATTTGCTCAACTTCGTGGATCAGTTGAAGTTAGACATTGACACCGTTGGATGCAAGCTCGGTGGTCTATCGGTTGAGGGCTCTGGCTCTAGACTGGTAGGCCCTGGGTTCGAATCTCGCGAGTTCGGGATCGTGGACGCGCACTGCTGAGGAGTACCATAATAGGATGAAACGATCATCCAGTGGTTCCAGGTTTTCCCTGGTGGTCTAGCTTCAATTGACACACGCTTTAAACTATGAAGAATATATTTTATTCAAAAGTGATCCACTTTACTTTGATGAGGTCAAATGCATCAGTTAATCACAACAATTCCAACATTTTGATTATTCGCTTAACCTCAACTTCATGATTGATTCATTTATTTTTAAGTTCCAAAAACTATCAACTCTAAAAAACTTTTGTAACCAAAAAAACATCATATTTAATTTTAACCTACTTACAAACGTGTTAGTAGTATAAAACTGTCCACAAAACTTTTCTCAACTTCAATTTGTGAAACATATTTTTAGACGGTAAATTGCGTAAATTCAGGCAAATTTTCAGCTCTAATATGTTATGTTCCAAACTTCAATTTATTGATCTAAACCCCTCTAACAAATTTGTCTGGAAATATCGTTATACTCGTAGTAAAAACCAGAAATGTTAAATTATTAAAAAACAATATTTTATTCATAAATAAGTTGCTCTGTTGTAAGTATGTCTTTTCATACTATATCACTATAATTTAAGATTCCTTCTATTTCGCTTCTAAAAGTTTTTTTCAAAAAACTGCAAATAGATTCAGGGAATGGTTTATCATAAGACTTCAAATGTTGAGGGCGAATTGAGTAACCAAAAAGTTAAACTGTAATACAAATGCCTTATCATTTTTCGAACATTATGGAAATTTACTCTTCGGAGATAAAGTCTGTTAATAATGTTGTTGAGTAGATTTCGATAAAAACATTAGTGTGGCTAACGTCAGAAATAACATGTAATTAAGTATTTTAAATAGTATATTGAACTTTACTTCAATCTCTATTATCTAATATTCTAATACAAGAAACTATGTTTTGCTAAAATAATTTAGGATTATCCCTCGTCTGAATGTTTCCCTATCTGTTTATAAATAATCTCATGAAATTTATAGACCTACCCTCCTCAGTTATAATTTGTCATATCTACTAGAAATTATTAAGTTTAGAAAAAGTTTTACTGAGTAATGATTTGATCTCAATGAATGATCCTCTATCTAATACACATTTATTGATTATATTGAAGCTACTCAGTACGGAAAAAGGCAAAGAACAATTTTGTGAGTAAATATTCTTCATCCTTAAAGAAACAGTCATTGGTTAAATGTGATGAAATATATCAGAATTAGTGATTATATAGAAGTGAGATAGGTGAGATTAAAATTTATGGACAACCTTTGAGCAATGTTAGACTGACCTTGAGAGTGTTCACTTAATAGCCAGGACCAAATGAGAATTATAAATATGTGTGAGGCATTAGAATTTTGATTTACAGTTAATGATTAAGGTTAGAAATTAGAATTAGTTTTGTCATCACGAACAGACATCAGCTTTAATGGAAAAATTCTATTTATCCAAATGGATGAATGAATTTCGCGCAAAAATCCGAGACCTGTTATTTTATACACGATTGGTTCATCTATTAATTACAGTTTCGCCGTGAGATATTATCCAAACAAATATTATTTATGATTTTAATTTGATATTATACAAAATTGAAATATAACTAAGCAGATGTAATTAAGAATATTGTACGGTTTTGTTTAAGTATTCGCGATTAAATATGAACAATTATTTTGAGACAATGGAGCTGAAGCAATCCACATTTAAAGACTTCAATATGTAGTATTGGATAACTTTTCCTTCAAGTATAGGTAATAAATATTATTGGTGACATATTGCGTATGGAAACTTATTTCAGTGGGAAAGTTTAAGTAATAATATTATACTACTCAAAGTAGTATAATTAGAAGACTAAAATTTGACAATTATTGCCAAGGTTTGATAACAGCTAGAATTCATATACACACAGTAAATGTAACTATATTTTTCTTCAAGATAAATAATAGGTGAAATTTATTAACCACTGAAAATACCCGTTGCTCCAAATAATTACTTCAATTACTAATGTTACTATTAGCCCTACTGAATAATGATAGTCACAAACAAATTAATACGTTATCGCCTATATTGTTAGTACCAAGTGTTAATAAGTACTTGAAAAGTGATAGGTACTGATTCAAATTCAATGGTAAATATCATCATCTATAAATAAATTCAGTCAGACAACTAGTTCAAGATAAAAGAGAATGTGTGTCACGAACGGTCACTGTTCAAAATATTGTATAGTTCTAAGTGAATACATCATCAAAAAATCCAACAAATCAACAGAGTAATCATTTCGATCCTGAAAACTAACGATATTAAAAGCATGTTTAGTATAACTACGAAATTACCTTGTTTCGATTGCTGAAATGCTTTTTATTAGCCTACAATGGATTGCAATAATCGCTCTAATTGATTAAAAAATGACATACAATTTCTTTATCAAACCATAATGACTGATTACAGCGTAAAGAAATACCTAGAAATATGATTCTTTGGAAAATGAAATGTAGATTTTCCGTTGCAACTACTGATTCAGCACATGAGTTTCTTTGAAATCATTAATAAGCTTAGTCAATAAACAAAGATAGTTCAGTTGAAGTAATTTTGTAGAGACTTGTTCTATTTTGTTAGTGGTATACGTCACATACTAAGTGCAGTTAGAACTCCTTGAAAAGTCAGGGGTCACTGAAATTATCTTACGTTCTATTGTTGGACTCTTCAACATGATCCTGCCAGTGGTCGAACCGAGGACTTTCAGATCTCTCAGTGAGCCCTTAGTCAGGTCATGATCGGTGCAGTTCAAATATTTTTGGGTAGTTAACCAATCATCACTAGTGTCACTGGATAATCGTCACGCTATACTATATGTTGACCGAATAGGAAACATGAAGTAATAGATTTTAACCCAGAAGTGTAACTGTCAGGTACCAACCACGAGATCTGGAGCTTCTTAACCTGATCTGTCCCAAGATCTGAAATGCTTACTGCTGCGATGTCCTGTATCAGGACGAAACTACTCTCCAAAATTTATCATGTATCCAAGTAAACTTTATCTCCCACTTCTGAAATACTGTATTAGTGAGACAAAACGGATAGATTTTACCCTAACCAGCTTAAATCCGATTCATAAAATCAGTCATTTATGACTAGCGAATCACCAAATCAAACAATAAATGAACTGAACTCTGTAAACACTGACTATTAAATAATTATTCATATCATGAAACTTGAATGTTCAATTTCACTATATAAGTAACTTGAATGATGAGCCACCGACTAAAACATACTTAAATAATCTGAGTTTACGTCTCCTATATGCTAAGACATTAATACGAATAAATTCATTTAATATTGTTTACATGAATATTCCCATTGATGTTTAAAACTGCAATTGATTAGTCTCTTATTAGTATAGGTGCATCCATTGTGCATTGTTTCAATATTACCTTAAATCACTAGCATTATAAGCAAAATGGATGTCAGGACTCAGTATGTAAATAGATAACATGATAATATTTAAAGTAAACGGCTATGAGTTTAAATCCTGGATTGAACATCAACACCGGGATGTATGTACATTTAGCTTAAAAGCTAACGCATCTCCACTACTAGTCACTATTCATCTTTGCTTATAATTGATACGAATAATTAAAAAAAAAATTTCATGAAATAATCATTGGTTAGGAGAAATTTTCCCCTATAAATATAAATTATTTTACCGTTATATCATTCTTACCCATGTGTTTCTATTGATATAATCCAAATTGATATCATCCAAATTTATCCAACCAATCAAAATAATGTTACATAAAGGGTTAAAAAAAATAAATAAATTTCTTTAAAGAACCAATCAAATTCATAGAAGAGTTAGAAATAGTCCAAACTTTTTCAAAGAGTTAGAAATGTAATTTGTATTGATTATCTATAATGAAAACACAACACAACCTAACTTCAAATAGAAACATTACCTCAAATCTTTAGGGACATATGTCTATTTAGATTAATATTTTGAGTATGTCAATACGGATAATGATAGTATATTACTTTGATGTTGTATTATATGCTTTCAACCTTTGAATGTCACTGGATAAATGATAGATGAAGTGACTTACAAAGCAATAGTATATAGAAGAAAAAAGAATGTAGGTAGACATCAAAAATATAAGAGAGAAAGAGAGAAAGATTGTAAAAAGAAGGGAGAAACTAACTGAAGAATTTAGAGTGAAGAAGAGAAAGATGAACAAAGTTAAAACAGATTAGTATAAATGTTTATCTCATAGAAAAATGGCTGACAAATTTCATTATTCAAAAATCATTTGATCATATTAAGGATGATGTTCTCTTATTCATTGTTCAATATTTCAATATATATTTTTTTCATTGGTCCATCTATCTATAAAAAGTACAGAAACCGGATTGCCCATAGTTATCAATATTAATAATCTATTTAATTTACTGATTATAAACACACAAAAATGAATAGAATATCCAATCATGCCTTATTGATTACACGTCGATACTAATTTATCTGGATACATTAAATCAAATTATCATCCATAGTTGAATTAATTACTAACCACTTTTATCTTATTCCTTTTTTTCTTTTTTTCATGTTTACCCTTTTTTCTTTTTTCTCTTCTTTTTTTTCTTTTTTTTTATTGATTTCACCATGGAATTATTAATGTGAATTCAATTAAATTGAATAAGAATAGCGGATTGATTGAGTTTAGTTTTATTTTCGTTTATTTCTCTCTTTTTTTTCTTTTTTTTTACTATTTTACACATTTACTACTCATTTTACTGTATCAGGTCAAACATTGAATAAAAGTAAATTAGATAAGACATTGGAATAAGAAAAAAAAGAAAGAGAAATAATAGTAATAGTAATACTTGATTAATGAAAGAACCGAAGAAGTCATTTATATGTCGATATATATATGTGTATATACATAAATATACACGCACACACACGCACACTTTTGTTGCCTCTCGAATTGATTTTCTCTTCTGGTCTTTCCATTTCGAGTTTTTGTTGTTTGTTTTACTATTAAAATAAATTAATTATGATATCACAGTTACAACAGCAATTACAACATCAACATAGACATCATACATTTAATACAACAGAGAATAATACTAATCTATCACAATTTTGTTTAAATTTACCTGAATTCAATTCTATACATACTATATCTGAATATGATGAAAATAATCAACGGCCAATTGATCAGGGAAAATTGAATCGTAGTCATAATGATCATGTTCATACTATCGATAATGGAGATATTAAACCTAAAATTGACACTACAATTATATCGACTAATGATGAAATTATTAATTCTGTTGAAAGCAATAAAGAAGGTTCTAGTATCACCAATCATTGTTTATCCAGAAAGAATAAACTGGATAATCAATTTAATGATTATCATAAATCAATATCCCTTGATTCAAGTCTTTCGCATAGACTTTGTTATTCACCAAATACTACTACTATTATATGTGGTAAAAATAATATCGAATACAATACAGAAATATGTTATGCCTCAAAATATCCTCGACTTCATAATTCGTTACCAGAGTCTAACAAGCATAGCAACAGTGATGTAACTGACAAGAACAATAATAATAATAATAATGACCGGAATATTGCAGAACAAAAAGGTAATCGTAAAGAATTTTATGATTTTGAAAGAAATGTTAAACAACTTATTGATTATGAATTAAATCATCATTTAAAGAATGAATATATTTCAATGGATCATTCAAAACAGAAACAACAGCCTACATCATCATTATCATCATCATGTACAACATCTTTGAATGATACTTTCAACAAAGAGCAGATTCTTTCATCTTTGAAAAACAATGAAATGATACATCAAACTAATGATAATGATAATATAAATGAAGAAAAATCAAATGAACAACATAGTAATGAATTATATCATAGAAGAAATAATAAAATTAATAATTCTATATTGGATTCATTAAATTTTAGTTTAGATAAAATAGATATTTTAAATCATTTACAACTATCTAGTAAGTTAATAAGTTCACTCTTAATCATTTTATAGTAATGAAATCCATAGGAATATGATGAAGCTTAGTAGGCCCTTTTGGAGAAGAGTGCTACATAGAAGTAAGGCACAACTACTAAAACTCAATAGCTGTTTTTGTATTGCTTAAGTAGAACTATGACATTATTCTTTTTTGGGCAGACTCATTTTTTCTTTCTTTTTGAACCAACATTAATTAAGCAATGATATTTTGTAGCAATCATAACCATTTGTGTGTACAGGTAGAGTGGTTGATTAGGCCGATCTCCACCACCCATATTATCGCTCACGTTAGTACATGGTATGAGTGGCATGATCCAGGAGGCACGACGAGGACGTATGAGTCAGGTTTTGCCTCCCATTAATGAAATGAATTAAATTAAAAATATTCAATATATTTAGTTGATAGATATATAACAATATTACATAAGTAGTTACTAAAAAATGTTCCGTTTACTTATTAATACTTAAATATCGATTTATTCACTGATGAAGGTTTTCATTGTAGACTATTTCAAACAAAAAATTATAATTCTCGTTACAAATAATAATAGAATTTTGAAACTAATATAAACTTATAAGCAAAAATGAATAATATGTAGCAATGGAATCTAGAATGAGCGTTTCGTCCGATTTGGGACTCGTCAGATGTTCATCTCACGACTCAAACTCATAGCCGTTCACTTCAAATATCATCATTTTATCTATTTAACTACTCAGTCCTGATATTCATTTTCCTTATAATGGTTGTAATTTAAGGTAATATTGAGACAATCCACACAGGATGCACCTATACTAATAAGAGACTAATCAATTGCAGTTTTAAACATCAATGGTAATATTCATATAAACAATACCAAGTAAATGTAATATAAACTTATTAAATAAATTCATATTTCGAATTGAAAATGTTGATAACTATCTGAATGATTGTTGACTTGTGTCATTTTAACAAAAGCTGTTTCACTTACAAGTTTCTGAATCTTACCTACATTAAATTGCAATGTTTCAAAGATGTTTTTCAATTACAATCCAGTCGTTTTATTATTATTGTCATTATTATTGTTGTTGTTGTTGACGAAGCAAGTGAAACTGTATTTGGATAGAGTTACAAATTTGATTATAATTCTATCTGGTTCCTAAAATATTATAAGTAATTGAAAGCCTCATTAATGAAAGTTTACCTAGTTACTAAGTTTTAATCCCTTCAGTATTTAAACTATGTAATAGAATGTAGCTCAACATATTTCTTTACTATTTCTTGTATGAACTCACAAGACTCACCGTTTGCATTACTTATGAATATAATAAGGAATTTTGATAGTAATATTCATGAATAGTGTGTTGAAATTTTTGTCCATAACACATTGACTAGTTGTTGAGTGATGACCAATTTCATGTTTCTCTAACCTTTAATGCTAATTGAATTCTATACATCAAATCATAATGTGACTATTAGTTTAATTAATTTAATATGTTGTACACTGTTTTGTTTTGGATTGGTTACAGTTAGCTGATTCCTTTAAGATCATAAATACTCTTTATCATGGTTTCCTGTTGACTACCTCCAACCATTTTATATTAAACATAGTTCAATATGTGCCGTCTAACGAAATTATTTAGCTGAAACAAAAATTTTTTAAACAACTAATCTGATTTTTGTTTTAAACAAACAGTGCTTCCAGGTTTTCTATGGTCATCTAGCTTCAATTGATTCATCATCTAAACTATTGAAATTACTCTAATACTCACAAAACCCCTACTGATATTAATCAACATATGTTTACTAGTAACTGGCTTTAAGAAGTATTTCCTGGAGTTCTAGTGAGAAACAGTGACCAGTGAAGATCAACCGGGTCTGTTTTGAGTTTGACATTAACACCGTTGGATGTCGGCTTATTGGTCGAGAGGTCCTGGGTTGGAATATCGCGAGGTGGGATCGTGTATGAGCACTGCTGAGGAGTCTCACAATAGGACGAAACGGCTGTTCAGTGCTTACAGGTTTTTCATGGTGGTCTAGCTTCAATTGACTCATGATCTCAACTATTGAATTAGATAATTTATCAATATCTCTTAGGTATTTTTATACCACACTTAAATTATCTGGATACAAAATTTTCACGATTTTATCAATAAATACTAAATAAAGAATGAATTTCGTGAAATGAATAATTAATTCCCTTCTACTTGTTACTCTAACGGTATTTACACTTATTTACAGTATCTAAATTTTTCTGATGCCAACTTATACAGATAAAATTGCTAATAGAGAATGATGCGAAATTTCAAATTAAAATCGAATAAATCATTTAATGTTCCCTGATTTTTGCTAGGCATTGAGCTGAAGTTAATCATTTTAGTTGAAAGGGTTTTGTGGAGATTGACTGTAAACCTATACGACAAATCGATTGAAGTTGACAATGTATAATCCCTTGTAAACACAGCTATTTGAATAGTGAAGAGTTCAGCATAAGACATAAATATCTTGGGTTTGATTTTTGTCAGAGTCACAAGTACATACTACTCAGGAGTTTTATACTAAGACGGAATAGCTGTTCACTGATCTCTGATTTTCGATGGTATCTCAAATAAGATCAATCTGCAATGAATACAGCATGTAATGTAAGTTGTAATTTTTTTATAATAAATCATATCTTCGGATTCTAATTCTAATACACAACAGTACATAATTGACCAACAAAATTAAACAATCAATCAGAAGTGACTTGGTATCCTTTAAGAACGCATGTATAAGTTAACAATATCTGAGTTTTAAATATGTTACACAAAGACCTTGATAAGAATTTGATTAAACGTATAGCTAAGAAAATTATTATTTCATGGAACAGCTTTGTTGGGCATTGTCAGTAGTTGAAACAATATTCAGAAAAACAAACAGTTATCTCTCTAGATATTATTTAACTGAAAGAATTAGAAAAATTATGGTCCCCTTGCTAATTACAATTGATCAATCTATCTGATAATATTTATAGCTTAATAACAAAACAAAATTAATAATGAAATTCATGAGTCAATTAAAGCTAGACCGTTATGGAAAACTTAGAAGCACTGGACAGCCGTTTTGTCCTATTGTGAGACTTTCCAGCAGTGCGCATCCATGATCCCGTTCGCGGAATTCGAACCCAGCACTCAACGGTCTCGCGCGCGAACGCTTAACCTCTAGATCACTGAGTTGACATCCCGTGCATCCCGAAAAATCCTAACACAAAACTGTGATCTCTTAATGGTCAATTAAGTTAAAAGTAAGAATTATTATACCAACCATAACTAAACATTCAATGTTATTTGTGACCAAGATCATAAACTATATAAAACTGCAAAATAAATTATTCAATCTGAAATTACCCGATGAATAGTGACTTGTTCACGTAGCCAGTTCAATTTTCTATGTAAAGTTCAAAGATTGAAATCTTTATGAATCTCATACTGTAGTGAACAAAAACACAAGTAGGGACAATCGAATGTATTTGAAAAAAAATTACACAATCTCTTAGTAAAATCTGAGAACTATACAGTAAATACTTCATTTACAAAATATCAGTCAATCGTTTCAGACCCTCATTTGTTGGTGTGTATGAGATAGAAGAGCTAGGACATCTGCTGAGTCCATGTCGGCTAACTGTATGGAAACTGTCCATTTTATTTCATGCTTCCCGTCTACGTAATCACTTCAACAATATTTAATGAATGGAATGTCTTATATAATCTACCAGATTTGTATTATAACGTTCAGTAAAATATTTCTAGTTAATTTTATAGAGAATTTTTAAACTAGATTCTTTGGAAAACTGAAATGACTAGCTTCTGTTAGTGTATGAAGATGTTTAACTAGTGTTTTATTATTGATTATGATTATATGTTGATTTCATTGTGTTTGAATAGAAGCAGTCGAAGTATTCAAATAATAAAAAAATAATTTTCCAGTGTTGTTTTCAAGCAATGAATATTTGACTTTAACGTAAAATGTACACTAATGATCACTGAGGTAAATTTATATTTAACAGATAAGTTACAAAGTGAGTAAAACATTATAGAATTCTCATCGTTAACCATAGTACAAAAGAGTTTTCTTCAACGTCATACGATTTGTTTTCATGAAAGAGTGAACATTTTGCATCGTACACTAACGTTACTAGAGGTTCAAATTATCTCGCTTTCAGTAACCAGAACTGAACAAAATAAAACTGGAATTCCTAATTCCTAGGATGTATCTATGATAACAAAGACTAATCAAAAGTCAATCCTGAATATAGACAATGAGATAATTCGAATAATTACTACTAATAATAAAACCATCATACCCGTTCAACTAGTTAAATGACTGGGTGAATGCAATGATTCACCAGATAAAGATTTGGGTATTTGAAACGATATGATCTAGGTTCAAGTCCCAGTTGGCAAATCCAAAATTCTTGTACTATATACAATCCATCCACTTTAATACACTGTTAATCATGAATGTACAACATTCATGTAAATCTAGTGAATATTGTCTAGTTACATTTTGAATGCATTATTATACAATGGGGATCAACGGACAGAAATAAACAAATGTCTGTAAAAGCTGACATTCATCCACATCAATACACATTACAATAGTGTAGAAATAATGAATAAGAATATATAGGAAAAGAAGTCGAAACAAACAAGGATAAGATAATAAATGTTCAAGAATTGAAAATCAATATAGGAATAAACTTACATTATTGTGATCATTAATGAACAGTTCAATTAAACATTTGTCTTTACCAAGTAATTCATATCGTCATGATGATCTCGACTAAGAATTTCATAGTATTTTTATACAACTCAGATGAACAGATGAAAACTTTCTAGATAGGTATCATATTTAAAAAACGAATATCCTCAGCTTATTTCTTCGGGTAATATCTCACACTGGAATAAATACTAATTCCGTTTATTAACTGTACAAGTTAATAAAAGTAAAACAGTCACTCTTAT